TGGATTCTGCGTTGGATTTGTGGCCGCCCGGTCATTTTGCACTGGAATTTTTCGTTTCACTACGCTGTGCTGGTTTTGGTTTATTAACGTGCGCCCTCAACTCTTTTCTTTTATAGCATAGTCCAGCCAGTGAGAGAATGACACTTCGTACTGAAAGAATTTGAGTTGAATTTGACTCCCTAGTTTGCCCCTCAGGGTTGGCCCCTCTGGTACTTGAATAGGAAGTACTCGAACATGAACTTGAATAGGAACTTAAGAGCTAATGTCGGCATGCATCAGACAAACAGCGGCAAGACACCCAAAATTTGCTTTCACTGTTGCTTTTATATTTTGCAGCCCAATTGTGGTGTATTTTATTTTATTTTTTTACAATTCATTTATAGAACGCTTTATTGTTTACGCTAATATAAAGAATAAAGGAAAGTGTGAAATATAAATGCTCAATGATATTACAAGCGTAAATACTTAGTTACTTGTAATCTATTCTCAAGGCTCTCTTCAATGTACATGTCCTTTGCAGAGTCAGACGTCCATCTACCATGTATTTTAAGTAGTCTTTCTGAAATCAAATGACCACTATTACGCACTACAGATGTAATGCCACCGGATCTTAAGCTATGAAGACCGAAATTATTAGGATTATAACCTGGCTTACTCAGGCAATCTCTAAGAATTTCCCTGCATCTAGTATAAGAAATCTTACCACTTCTCAGGGTATAGCTAGAATTACTAGGGTGAAAAGTTAGAGGTCTAAATAAAGGAAGATTACTATTGCTGTCAATCCCAGAAAGGTTCAAATACCTTCTTAAGACACCGACAGGACAGTACTTAGATGTGGAAGCGCTAATATAGACATAATTCCCTTCCCTATAAATATCGGTTTTGCTTCGAGGCAAGAAAATCCTTATATAATCATTATGAAACTCAATATGCTTCGGAACGATATTACAAAAATCGTCATACCGAAGAAAACCTGCGAAAGCTAATGAGCATAATGCGGCAATACGAAGATCCTTCAGATTAGAATGTTCCTTGTTATGAACGTCCAATATGTTCCTAACGATTTCTGTGGTAATGGGTTTCTTTTTCACAATTGGTTGTGACCTCTGGCGTTTGGCAGATTCGATAATATTTCTGCAAAAATCGCTATCCAATGGGTTACAATCAAGACTAGGAACAAATGAATGTAGTCATTTAAGGGCGGCGTGGGTCAAAATTACAGAAGAACTGGAACTACAAGACTGTTGGACTTCGAACAAATAAAGAGATACGACTCCTAAAGGAAAAGGTAGCTCAAAGCTTATTTGCTTGCTTTTACACCAATCCAAAAACTTCTTAAAAACTCGCATATAGGATTTTGCTGTAGCATCTGCTCTGGATTTCAACATCACGTCTAAAACCTGATTGGCATGCAATGACGAAAGAACTGGGGAACCTTTCCATGACTTGCTTGAAGAAATTATCTGAAAGAAACAAGAACACAAGATACAAACTAAAAGGAACAAAACGCACGCCCTTAGTGTAGTGACAATAAGATGGGAATCCCAAAGTGCCCAATGGATCATTGTTTGGGCCGGAGTCTGGGCCAATGCCCTTAAAACAAGACATCATTGTTAGGCCAGTGCCACAAGATGCAAATCATTGTTTCGGCCAGTGCCTCATGAAATCAAACCATTGCTTAGGCCAGTGCCAACACACTTGATGAACAAGTCCAAATTGTTACTCAGTAAATTCCATTCTTAAGGCGATAATATAGCCTGTGAATTGGTGAGACCCTAACAGCGAATTGTGATTTCTTCCATGAATAAGAACCTCCCTCCCAGCACGAATAACGTGGGCCACAAGAGAATCACCATATCTGTGCATAATTAATGGCCAGTAATGAGCTGAAGGCCAGAAGGGTACAACAAGTGTACCAACGGCATACTGACACTTCATATAATGCAAAACACGTGGAACAATACCCACGGGTGGAGCCACTAGACAATTTTCCCCGCCAAGAGGCTGAAAGAAGAAATCGACACCTGCAGTATCGGGATTCCAGAATCTTGAAAAGAATTTGGGGAGTTTGCGATTGTAATAATTGGCAAAACAATCAACAGTATGGGGCCCACAACGTTCATCAAAAAATAGAAAAATTCGTTGGTAATTTGCCAATCATCGGTATCAATTAATCGACTTATATAGTCAGCTTGCTGATTCAAAGTACGTGGAATCCACTGGACCTCTAAATGAATCCCCGACTGGATACAAATACTGAAAATGTTCCGCGCGATCCTGTGTAGATCAAGTTTCATGCTGCCCACTTCCACAATCTTGGCAGCGGCTTGGCTGTCAGTATACCAGTTAACGTGCGATCCTTTAAGTACAGGGGCAAATTATTTCAATGAAAATTCAATAACAGATAACTCTCTCCATGTTGAGCTTCGCAAACTTTCGTTCTCCGTCCACAATTTGTGACACACAAAGTCATTGTTAAAGTCAATGAATGCACCGCCTCCAGTGGCGCTACCATCTGAGTAAACAAAATAACTAGGATCTTTACTTACAAAGCAATATCTGCTGTTGAGGTTAATCAAATTATCTTTCCAAAAATATAATTCCTCTTTGTAATAATCATCAAGACAAAATACTGAATCCCAATTATCTACACACAAGGTAGACATAACGCAATATCTGGTCATTATCCTACCAATGTTTCCAACCACAGGCGCAGTAGAGATAATTTGAACCTTGAAAGAAGCCAGCTCTCTAGCAGAAAGTTATAAACCGGCCTCAATAATACGATCTATTGTGTTGGTAATCTTAGTAATTCTTCTCTCCACAATTCTTAGAGTACCCAATAAAGAATTCCAGGTTATACCTAACCAGTCCAAAATTTGAGTAGGTTCCCATACCGATTTCTCTTCATTCACTACAAAACCCGCACCATACAAGTCCTGCCTTACGGTTTGGGCCTTAAGAAGACAACCTTCTTTGTCCTGAACTATCGTCCAACCATCATCTAAGAAAATAGCTATGCAAGTACCTTGTATTCTCCAATGTTTCTCTAAAGGTTTAAGAAGCTTTGTGAAAATATAGGGAGCTGTAGACAAACCAAACGGAAGAACGGTGAAAACGTAAAATATTTCGTTATTGGAATCTGGAGCACGCCAACAAAACCCCAAAAAACGTTTGGTGATCCTGCGAAATTTCGATATGGTGATAGCCACTTTTCAAGTCAAAAGAAAACATGTACGAATCCTTGGCAAAATAAGCCATAGCAATTTTCCAATCCTCGTATTTGATTCTTTGTTTAATTAGGGACCTGTTAACGTGACGTAAATCAAGAATTAATCTCTTTTTGCCACATGGCTGAATAGATACTGATAAGGGGTTGACAATAAAAGGTTGCTTATCAACCCTACAAACCCGACCTGAATTAACTAACTCAAGAACAGCTTGGTCAACGAAATTAGCATGAAGTCGAGCAGACTTATTATTCTTTAGCCTTACAGATAATGGAAGGCTAGCAAATGGTAATTTGTAGCCCTTTTCAATAATAGTCAAAATGAAATTTGGAGCACCAGTAGATCTCCAAAACCCTAGATTTTTCTTCAAATTACCCTTAACGGTTAAAGACTGTCCGCTTTCAAGTTCGTATTTCTGTACGATTTCTTCTACCTGTGCCAAGTCCTCTTCACTGCTTTGATTGGTATTGAGATGAATGGCTTCCGGCTGGCTTGTTGTAGAAGAGTCCAGGAGAAGTATTGTAGTTGGGAAACTGGTAACTTCCTGGCCAGAACACGGATCTGCAGTCTTTAGCCCGGTGCCCAAGTTTTCCACACTTGTAGCAACGTGAGTAGTCGCAAGAAGCGCCTCTTCGGCCT